TTTGACATTATTTGGCATTAAAATTTTGAATAATTTTGCCAAAATCTTTTATTATAGTCTCACGGCCAATACGCAAATAACAGACGCGATTGATCCTAAAATCAGATATATGACCGAGAGGCGCAGTCTCAAGAGCGCGAGGGTGTAATGGATTTGTACCGAGGTTTGTACACTATTTTATTCGCAATCACTAATGTAATAATATGGCGATTACTAACTTTTTACACATCATTAAATCTCATGAGCAGTAATATCATTATATCTCTTAGGCCGCAATATGCAGGTTTGCCATCGTTAAGATTACAAAAATACCGGGAATTTTTCGTTCAAATTTATACGTTACGGATCATATTTTGCTAAATTAATATTCAGCTGCTCTGTAGCAGGTTTTCTTATTTGTTCCATTTCAACAATTTTAATATCATATTCACACATTATTTTAATATTTTCTTTGACATTTCTAAAATGTCAAAAATCAAACGCAATATGAATGCCCTACCACGGTTTGGACCTTAACTTTGTTAGAATTTTATTTTATTCAAATTTTTGACTAAAAATAATGTGATTGTGAACAAAATAGCATACAAATCTCTGTGGTAATGGCATTACCCTTTGTGCTTTCGTATACATGAGCACTCGGTGAAATGCCATATTTATCATCTCGTTTGTAATGTACTATTTATACAATCACATTTCGTTTAAATAAAAAAATGTCTGTGATGCATTGAGGTAGTTGCTATGCAAATAAATTGCGTTATTGGCATTTGATGGGCTTTGAAAATTCTACATACAGGGTGAATATAAAGTATGGAAACAAGCGGTTTTATTTTTAATCATTTGCCTCCGGAAAATAATAAATTAAAGTAATATAAAAAATGTGATCGTAATTTCAGAACGAAATTTTGTTTTGTTTTTGAGTTATGCGATTTTTTTTTGTCAAAATTGCAATTTATGTGAAAAATTTTTTTTGAAAAAATTAAAAATAAAGCAGATAATTGTAATCCTTAAAGTATAGCTTTTATGAGAAAAATGATTTTATAGTGGGTTGCCATTTAAAAAAAATATTGTTTTTGTAGAACTCATAAATAAAAGGAAATTTCGAAAAATTTTATTCTTGTTAAATCATCACATTTTTATAGTACTTTAGCACTCATCAATTAGTTTTTTCAAAAAATAAATAGTTTAAGCAAAAAACGTTTGGTTCCATACTTTTTATTCACTTTCCGACCAAGAGATAGTTAGTTATCAGTTAGAAATCAATGCATGTTACTGCAGTGATAATTGTGTACGAGTATAAGTACAGCGAGGTCAAAAAGTCTTTCTAGCAAACCAAGCGTAGAAAAGAACGTGTGGCTGAGAAAGATAAAATGTCGTAACTATAAATGAAAAATAATTTTTATGTAGACTATGACAGGAAACTGTGGTAGGTACACGATTTGTAGGAATAAACACCAATAATATCATTTTTTGACATCTAGTTAACATACGATCTGCCATGCAATATACAGTCGCTTACAAAAGATTTTCGTCCTCATATCGTCAATGTCACAAAATATTCTTTTATGTCAGAAATTTTCCAATTTAGCCTTTGTGATTGATTTATTTGCCTTAAAAATCAAAAATAATTTAAACGTCAACTGACTTTCTATTGTTGCAGAATTTCAAATTATACACAAATAAGTTTATTAAAAAATACATTGACGATCAAAATATATCGCTCGCCACTGTATCTGTTTTTTGTTATTTGTACTATAATATATGATTTATTTAACTTAACTTTATATTATAACATATTATCTAACTTTACTTAGCTTCAAAAACTTAATACTATTTTATGAATGTACAATTACATTTCTCGATTGTCACTCTCACCATTACTAAAACATTTGGAAACTATAAATAGAATGTTGTTTTTCTCTGCCTGCTCTTATCATTTTAAAACACATTTATACAGAGTTACAAACAAAATTATCTGATAAAACTGAAGTTCTATGCGTTAAATTTAGAATTTTTTAAAATCATCGTGGAGTGATGAGTACTATATATTTATATAAACCCTGTTTGATTAGTATCACATAGAGTTTAGACATAATAAGTTCAATCGCCAACATGAAGACGACAGTATCATTATTAGTGTTGGTGTTAATTTCAATTTATGGTGTAAACAGTGCCAAAATTTTGGGCGTTATGCCTGTTACTGGTCGCAGTCATTATATTCTCGTAAGTACCCTAATGAGAGCTCTGGCTGAAAAAGGCCACGATGTTACCGTTATAAGTTGTTTTGGGGAAAAGAACCCTCCAAAAAATGGGACTTACAGAGATATCGTCGTGACAGAAGGTTTAGAAGAAATGCAAAGTAAGAAAATCTTTTGTTAAAACTTTCTATATTGGTAATTTTTTAGAACTAGCGCCTGTAGTAAACATGAATATGTTCGATTTGGATAAATCAAATCCATTTGTTGGTGCAATTTTTATGGCATCCATGTTTCCTGCAATGACAGAAGTAATGCTGAAAAACGAAAATGTTCAAAAGTTGATTAACTCTGGTGAAAAGTTCGATGTTGTTATTGTGGAACAGTTTGCTAATGATGCACAAAAAGCTCTCTCTACGCATTTTGGAGCACCTTTGGTTAGTCTCAGTGGACTAGGAGCAAACTACTGGGTAAACTCCTTAGTAGGAAATCCTTCACCACCATCCTATATTCCCGATCTTATGCTAGACTACTCAGTTCCAATGACATTTTGTGAAAGAGTTGTTAATAGTATTGTTTATGTTTTTAATGAGTTTTTGCACAAGTTCTATATTTTTTCCAAACACAACGAAATTATGAAAAAATATATCCCAAATGCACCTACCCATATCAGTGACGTACTTTACAACAATTCCATTGTTTTGATGAACTCTCATCCCAGTATTAACCAACCAGTCCCATATGTACCCAACATGATCGACATTGGAGGTTTTCATGTCAAACCCCCGAAAAAACTACCAAAAGACCTACAAGAATTTTTGGACAATGCGAAAGATGGTGTCATTTACTTCAGCATGGGTTCAAATTTAAAAAGTGCGGAATTACCGAATGAGAAACGTGACGCAATTCTTAAAACTTTTTCAAAATTGAAAGAAAAAATCCTGTGGAAATGGGAGGAAGACGAACTTCCAGGAAAACCACCAAATGTTAAGACTGCAAAATGGTTACCCCAACAAGACATACTTGGTAAAAAAATATGTTCTTTAGATTTATCTAAGTAACAACTTTTATTTTAGCACACCCAAATGTTAAACTTTTCATAACTCACGGTGGTCTCTTAAGTACCATCGAAACAATTTATCATGGGGTACCCATTCTGGCCATACCTATTTTTGGTGATCAAAAAATGAACGCAAGGTCTGCTGTTAAAAGTGGTTATGGTGTTTATCTTGCTTATAGTGAACTAAATGAGGAAACGATGACTAACAGATTAAACGAAGTATTAAATAATAAAAAGTAAACAAAAACTCATTGGTAAAAGTGGTTTTTCACAATGTTTATTAAAATTTTAGGTACAAAGAAAATGTTCAAACGCGCTCAAGGCTTTTCCACGACCGTATTGTTAGTCCTTTAGACACTGCTATTTATTGGATTGAATATGTTATTCGACACAGAGGAGCACCTCATTTGAGAGTTGCCGCCCTGGATTTACCATGGTACAAATATTTTTTGTTAGACGTTATTGGAGTGATTGCTTTAGTATTTCTAAGTTCGTTACTTATTTTCTGTTACATTATAAAACTAATTGTTAGAAAAATATGTTCAAAAAGACCTAAAAAGGGCAAGAAAACAAAGAAAGAATAAATTGATACTTTTTTGTAAACACTGTATGTAGGTACCTTTTTAAATAAATAAATGAAGTAAGTTTTTGTTTATTTTGGACCCTCCAGAAACTGCACTAATAAATAATAAAAATTATTATCTGTCCTCACGAGTGCAAACAAACATTTTAATCTGATAATACTAAAGTTCAGTTTAGGGAAACGCTATAAGGATCACGTAAAAAGATAAAAAACTACATTATTATTTGTACCACAACATTGAATTAGCACAGTTGGTACAAGTTGTCATAATGAAATCTATATTGTCGCTCTTATTGTTGCTGTTAATTTCATATTATGGTGTAAACAGTGCCAAAATTTTGAGTGTTTTACCTGTGGCGGGCCGTAGTCATTACATTCTTGCAAGTTCTCTAATGAGAGCACTTGCTGACAAAGGTCACGATGTTACAGTTATTAGTTGTTGGGGGGAAAAACATCTGCCAAAGAATGGTACATATAGAGACATTGTTGTAACAGGAGCAATGGAAGAATTAGAGAGTGGGAAAATTTATTTTTGCTGAGATTTATTTAAACACATTATTTTTAGAGCAAATGAGTAAAGAAGACGTAAATATGTTTGAAATGGGAGGTATAAATCCACTTATTAGTAGATTTTTTGTGGGCTATGATGCTACACGCAATGAGCGAATTGACACTGAAACACGAAAATGTGCAAAAACTTATCAACTCAGGTGAAAAGTTCGACGTTGTTATTGTAGAACAGTTTGGAAATGACGCCCAAAAAGCCTTATCTACGCATTTTGGGGCACCATTGATTACTCTCAGTGCAATAGGGGCAAACTATTGGATAAATCCTTTAGTTGGTAATCCTTCTCCTCCTTCTTACATTCCGGATCTCATGTCAGACTATCCAGTTCCTATGACTTTTTGCGAAAGACTCATAAACAGTCTTATGTACGTATTTAATGAGTTAATATACAATTTTATGGTTTTCCCTAAACAAAACCAACTAATGAAAAAGTATATCCCAAATGCCCCAGCCCATATAAGCGATGTACTTTACAATAGTTCAATTGTTTTGTTAAATTCTCATCCCAGTATTAACCAACCTGTCCCACATGTTCCCAACATGATCGAAATTGGAGGTTTTTACATCAAACCATCGAAAACTTTACCACAAGACTTACAAGAATTTTTGGATAACGCCACTGAGGGTGTCATTTACTTCAGCATGGGTTCTAATTTGAAAAGTGCGGAATTACCAAAAGAAAAACGTGATGCAATACTTAAAACATTTGCAAAATTGAAACAAAAAATCCTGTGGAAATGGGAGGAAGAAGATCTTCCCGGAAAACCACCAAATGTAAAGACCGCAAAATGGTTACCCCAACAAGATATCCTTGGTAAAAAAAAAAGAGTTGTGCGTTTGCCTCAATTATTGTTTTAAAATTTTAGCACACCCAAATGTTAAACTTTTTATAACCCACGGTGGTTTTTTAAGCACAACTGAAACTATTTATCATGGAGTACCCATTTTGGCAATTCCCATTTTTGGTGATCAAAAAATGAATGCAAGGTCTGCGGTTACGAGTGGCTACGGCGTGTATCTAGCTTTTAATGAACTGAATGAAGAAACATTGACTACTAGTATTAACAAAATATTAAACAACAAAAGGTGAGTTTCAATTAATCTGTCTAGGCTTAAAAGTTTATTAATTGTTTTACATACAGATATAAGGAAAATGTCCAAATGCGATCAAAACTATTTCACGATCAAATTGTTAGTCCCTTAGATGCAGCTATTTATTGGATTGAGTATGTTATTCGACATGGAGGAGCACCTCATTTAAGAGTTGCAGCTTTAGATTTACCATGGTACAAATATTTATTGATAGATGTTGTTGCAGTAATTGCCTCAGCAATAATAACTTTGATTTTCATATTCGGTTATATCATAAGATTAATTTGCAAAAAAATGTATTCAAAAACAAAAGAAAAATCAAAAAAAGAGTAATTAAATGATGTTTTATATGGACTTTTCAATAAAAATTTATATACAAAAATCAATATTAAAAGATATAATATTTAATGGGTTATCACATTTTCTTACATTTAAAGGAAATAAAAAAAAATGTTCTGTAAGTTCAAAAATCGAAATACTGAATTTAGTCTTAACATTAGGGATTTTTTTAAACAAATCACAATTTGTTTACCATAGTGTTGTGTATGACAATCTGTTATAGTATAACTCCTGTACAACATTTCGGACTAAGCAACTGAATCCTATCTTGAAAACTAAAGAACTCATTTGCAGTATACATGATTCGTTATAATTTTACAAAAAAAAATTCCTTTCATTTTTCTTATGCTTTAATACACAATTAAAAATCACCTACATTTATATGGCGTATTTAGTTACTGATAAATAGAAAAGTAATGGCTTTTAAAGCCTTGAAACTGAATAAAGCTAAATATTATGCTAGTACCTACGCGCAAAAAACAAATACCTTAAGGCAGTTTAAATTTTTTCCACAGAAAACGACTTGATACGCACAACACAATTTTTTTTACAACTTTGTTTATAAAAAACCACGTCGTTGTCTTGATCGCAGCATAGCTAATAGTAAAATTTGTGAATGTTTGACGATTTAATGATTGATGTGGACTGATATTATTTTTATATTTAACATCGTAAGGTTTATAAAGCAAAATAGAAAAAAGAGTTGTACTCGTACAAACTCGTTCTTTCTTATACACAAGCTTTCACCCGGTTTAACTTGAAGAAGTTAATTTAGAGGTTAATTGAGGCGTTTTCCACGACAAAAAATATTTATGTGAAAGTATTTAAAAACAGATGGATATAGGTGGATTTCTGTAGATTTCCGTAGATGTACATAGTAGATTTATGTGGATATATTGGATTTATTTGTATTTAACTGGATTTAATTGGATTTATATAAATAATATATATGCATGTGTACACTTTTTGATCAACGGTTTACCCCTAGGTGTTGTTTACGCACAAACAGCTCATTAAACGGCCATTATCCGCTTGTATAATAAATAACTATTATCTAAGACAAGCAAACGACTTATATCAAAAAACTGTTCAATTTTGATCAAAGAAGTATTGTAACGTCTTTAAAAGTAATGAAATTATGGCTCGGATCGTTTTTTATAATCGAGCCTGTATATTTTCTTAAAATCTTCATTTTGTAACAAAGAAAGAATCCAAGTCCAAGTCTAAAAATACTGTTTCTTTAAAAACGATTTTTACGATTATAATTAAAACTTCCGATTAAGATATTTATTTCCTGAAAATTTTTGCGTTACCAAAATACAGAATGTTTCTGAATTGATTTACTTGTCCAACCACTACGAGTAGGTACGAGTACCTACATGTTATAAGTAGTTTTCAATAATTCTAACTTAATGCTATTTCAAATTAATTTGCACCCAAATGTATCAGTTAGTTTGTGCTAAAGCTGATTTCAGGTAATGTAGGTCTAAGATTTAATACTAAATTTGCATAATATCTTGAACTAAACTACCACTACTGAGTACGGGCTTTTGCTTTAATGTATGCAGCTATTTATTGTTCTCCAACACACTCTGCCAAATTGCTTACAATGAATTAATTCCAGCTATTGCAATTTGCTTTCCAATCACAAAAGGTTTTTATTTTATATTACGAGCCAATTCCAACATTAGCTTTTATGTTGATTTTTCAATTTCTCAATTAACCCGCTTAAGTTGAAGGAAATCCGATATTTGATCCCGTTTAAGCAGTACAAAGGATAAATGGTTGAAAATTTTTAGTGCAGAGGTCGTCCACAGTTCATAAAGTTTTGGCAAACGAAAAAAAATCGAGTTAATGGTGTCTGTAAATAGTACTTGTTGAGAGCGCGCCAAGGCTGGGTTATGATTTTCGAAAAAGCTCGTAAAATAACTTCCAAACCAATTTTATTTGAAATTGTTTGGGCGTAGCTCATTAAGCGAGTTTAAATGACTTATTATAGTTTATATTCAAGAGGAAGAAAGTGAGCGGTTTTTGGGTTAAAAGCTGAAACTCTGAAACTCACTTGAAAGTTGTAATAAACTCGGCGGGATTTTACACATTCAAATTGGGCTTAATCAAAAATTTAATTTGCTAAAATACGAAAGTTTTTTATAGCCAAGTTCGCAAGTTTATTGGCGGCTTGTAATTTTATTTGTTCTTCCGCTGTAAACAGCAATAATTAGGAAGGGAATTAAGTTTCAATTCGCACCCAATTACGGCGGCTTTAATTGGTCGCATTAATATTTATCAAGGGCTAATAGAAAGTCTGACAAACTTGTAATAAATGTAGGTAAATCGAAAGATCTAATTATATGGATAAGGTTGTATTACAACTTTAGCTTCAGGCTTTTTGTCCTAAGCTAATAAATCCCAAAGTGAAAGGGACAAATTTCGAGGTGTCCAATGTTAACCCTAATCTAAGTGTTATTTAATTACCAACAATTTGTTGGTCCAGACTAAAAACGTTAACAGCTACGAATTTTTGCGCTTTGTATTCAATGACTTTTAAAAAGAGTTGTCTGTATTCAACGTCATTAGTAAACTTTTTTAATTTAACTTTCCGGTAAACACTGTCTGTCTAATTCCAGTATAAATGGAACCTATTACGAAAAGGCCGCGGGAATAACTTCTTAAATATTTGAAATACTCTAAAAGAGGTTTTTCGGTGCAGTCGTCCCGAAAATTAATTACCACCGTAAACCAGGCCCTCTGACGAATTTCACTCGAAAATTATGTCATCACATTGTTGGCAAATTCAAGAAAATTTCAATATTAGATCCAGTTGAATTGTTATTCGAAAAGCGGGTAAATTACCTGGAAATATATTTATGAACCGAAAATTGGCGCGCTGCTGTACGTGGAATGTAATAGGATTTTAATGAAATATAAATGAAGTTGAAGCTATGAGCCACATATGGATTGGAGTCGTATATTTGTTGGTCCGTTTGGATACGACTTTCCGTAACTATTGAATCCAAACTAATATTGGAAAACGATTAAATTGGGCTTGGTGTACATATTAATACGAGTTTATCAACTCATAAATGGCATAGTGAAGAAACGCAATAAGTTATTTCAACCAACGTTTTCTTGCTTCTAATATTACAACTTATAACAGGGGCAAAATTTTTAGTATATGCACTTTTGGGGTTTCATATTTTTAAAGCAATTTTTATCTCCGATAGATGCAAACTACTTAAATATTAAACACTTTCTTTAACAATGGTAAATTGATCATGAAGTATCCATTTTAATTATTAATTCAATTTTTGTTTAGTGGTTAAACAAATTTCTCCAAGCATGGAAAAACAATAAACTATGTTTTTATTTTTAATCGCTACAATAACACAAAATTTATATATTATTGTTCTAGCAACCTATTTATGATTTAACAGAAATCGCTTCTTGTTGCTAAAAAAAATTACTAAAAATCGATGTACCGTATTTAGCTTGTACTTTCATGAAATTTTTATAATATTTACAATCCTTTTAGTGCTCTTATGGGCGTTAAATCTGTTGACATATTGACATCATACTTTCAAATTTTATAATATTTGTAATTTAGTAATAAACAAATGGTTATAAGAAAAAACAAAATTAGGATAAAAGGTTTAATATTCTTTCTGAATTTAAAAAAGGCGAGTTAGTGTTTAACATACAAAAATGTAACCAAAAAAAATCTATAAAAACGTTGTTATTGTAAATGTTGGATTATAATTGGTAAATCCAAGGATCTGCTACGTAAATCTAGGATTTACAAGTCGCCGTTGTGCACAAAACACGTCTCATTTCGGGCTTACTTTGCTGCATTGCGGCCAATTTAAGGCTTTACTACCTCGTTCGGTAAAATTAAATTATTTTTATACACCTAGTGGTGTATAAAGTTACGTAGGGTTGTAAATACTACATTTGCTGGAAAATGCAAGACGAAGTAATAAATTTAGATCATCTGTTTATATTTATTTGCTTATATTTACGGCACCGTAAATGTGTCCTACTTTAATGGAAGTATGGATTTACAACATACAGTTGATTAAAAAAGTAATAAACACGTTTTTAATTTAAAAGTTGCAAACTCGTGGAAAAATTCTCAATTAAACTGTAGAAAACTGAATGAAGTGTAATCAAGGTTTCACTTCGTATTAAATAAAGATCTCCTTTAAAGCTGTCTGTGACTTTGCTTAATTAATTTCAGTAGAATGGTCTGAGAGCAAATTTGAATACCATTCAACATTTATTGTTTGTTTTTGTGAAGGTAATCTATGGGAATTATCCTCAACTTTCTAGTTTAAAAAAATAATATGTCTTTAGAGCACGGTCTTTAAAATAAAATAATAAAATTCCTAAGAGTTAGTGTTAAATAAGTTTATATTAGGAATTTAGAATAAGAGTAAATTTTAATTAAAGTTAGAAATATAATGAAAAAGTTCTTTGGGTAATTAACAGAATGTTCTAATTTTAACGAACCTTTCTGCACATGCTTAATTATGAAATCACTGCTGTTTAACGCTTCATAAATTTGCTTAAAATTTCATTATTTTTTGACGATGATTAATTAAACGACAGTGTTTATTTATCATCTTTAAAATTATTCAAATGTAACTTACTTACTTTATTTCCAAAATACTTGCATCAAAATAAAATAAAATACTCTAGCAAAGGTAATAATGTTAATTACCTTGGTGTGAAAAGTTTTTAGGAGGTAATTATACCCACACTTAAACTCATCTAGTAAAGAAACTAATAATATTTTATTAAATTTTGACTTAAGTGCTTGAAGCTATTAATAAGACTTCGTCGCTTTTTTCATTCAAGCTTGTGTCAGTCAACTCTTCGACGTTTATCAATACTGTAATGTTAGAAACAAACTGAAATCCGAGAAAAAAATTGAATGTCTGAAATCGAATTTCCTAGAAAGTTGTATTAAAACTTTTTGTCTGCTAAAATACCCATCAAAGCAAGATCAAATTCAAAAAATATTCGAAACACAAATATCTGAAGAGGTAAAGGCGTAGAATATCGTTTTTATTTATTTGACTTCGGCCTTTCGATTTTTTTTATTCTTGCTCCGAGTAGAAAGGCGAATAATAAAAATTGAAATTTAGTGATTCCTTTTGGCTTTGTCGATTTTAGATTCTCGCTATTTTCACATTGGGAATCTCAAACCGATCCACTGATAAGGGTTTTTCTGAACTTTATTGGCGAGAATTTCTTTCAGATTTTCAATATTTATGAAGTTACAAAACTGTTCAAATTTGAATAAAATAAATATTTAGTAACTTTTTTAACAATAACTAAAATTAAGATTGGACTTAATTATATGTAACTGATGCTAGTAAGAAATGATTATAAATAATTTATAAATATATTGCCAACTAATTAGACACATAAAATAAAAAATGCTTTCTCAAAAATGGTGAAGGTGCCAGGTTAATAATAAAATTACATTTTTTGCCCTTTCTAATTGCTTATACACGTAAAAAGTAAAAGTAAATAAAAAATAAGCAAATAAGCAAAATATTTGTGAGTATTGTTTGCTGAAACAAAAATAGTACAGAGTGGTTATAAATGATTTTCATCTAGCCAGCTTTGGATTTTTTTTGCATGTAACTTTATTTGTGCCGCTCTACTTTTTTGAAAGCTCTAGTTCTGTCATTAGTGTCATTTATTAATTAATAATAATTATTGTTTCAACTAATTTCCAATAATAATTGATAATAATGTAAACTTTGGAAGAAAACAAGTTTATAATTAAAGTCTATTTTCGAAGTGGACGCTTAGTAAACGGCGATTTTTTAATTTTGAGTTAAAACAAGTAGGTACCCCTTTTTTCGTAAAGCGGCATTTTTTATTTTACATGAAAAATTCACAGCTGGCTAGATGAAAATCATTTATAACCACTTTGTATATTAAAAAACAAGTGTTACAAAAATTGTGATACAAATAGTTTGTGACAAGAGTATCATGATGAAGGATTGTATCACATGTTTTTAATACTACATTTTCAATTAAGCGTTTTTTAAATTAAGTTTAAGTTAAGGCGTCCACCGAGGCCCCACAAGTGCAAAAACTTGCAAAACCGTTTCTGACCAAGTGATGCACACTATCTTTTGTTCCGTCCAATTTTAAATTGTCTCAAAAGAACAAAATAAAACAAATAGTTTGCGAAGTTACCTGTATCCAGGTTGGCAACACAATGTCCAAATTAAACTCTAAATTATTATACAGGGTGATACACGAGGAATAATGAGCCTGACCAAATTCGCAATGCAACCAACATTACATTTTCAGAGGTCACGTAGATTTCAAAGATTTTTTGTAATAAATATGAAATCATAGCGAACACACTTACAATTTGTCAGTTTTGACATTAAAATTTTGAAAAACAGAAGTAATTGAAATACTAACACAATAATGGGTATATTAAAATACAAATTACGGAAGGCAACCATTCAAGCTTCATCCAGTGGTATCATTAGCTTTGACACCTTAACAGGAACCCAATTTTCTCAAAACTAACCTGATCGTGTCAGCTGCTCTTTCTTTCGGGATATCATTGGGCATCACACAGGCAGCAAACATTTTATAAGCTAAAATCATGTCAGTCTTCTCATCATTGGAATACGTCCACATGGTGTTCTATGGTCCACATTTTGCTCAGTTAATGATAAATTTGTAGCGTTTGTCAAAAATGACAATGACGATGATTGATCATGATAATAGGCATCGTAGATTCAAATTACATTTTTTTTAAATGTCGCAAAGCAACTTGCGAATGTGTAATGGTGGTTGCATCGAGAATTTGGTCAGGCTCATTATTCCTCGTGAATCACCCTGTATTAACTCCAAATAACAAAAATCATTTGATACATTAAATATTTGCTCTGAAATCAAATCCGCTGTTCATTTAAGAAATGTTAACCACAGATGTTAACGGATAACCAATAGTACCATTTGGTTAATTTTTTTGATAGCTGATAGGGCTGTTTTTTCGATAAATGTAAAATCAACGTTTTGTGGACGGAGGACCAAAAAAATAATTTTAAAAATGGTGGAGGCGCCGGGATTTCAAATATACAGGGTGCGCCAGAACTCGCGCCCCAGAGAAAATTTTCAAGTAAGGTAAGATACCAGGAACATGAAAAAACTGTTTAAAAAATTCTATCTGTCAAAAAATTTTGAAATTTATTTTTTGACATTTGCCTGTTTTTATAACTATTTAAGGATACTGATCATCTTGTATGTTTTTTTACAATTATTTAGTAAAGGGACAAAAATTTTGACAATAAAAGCCACAAATAACATTGAACAGAGTTACAATTTAGGATACAGCTTCTTTGTTTCTTCTTTTAATAGCCTATAGCAAAAAAACGTGCAAACTTTAAACCCTCATAACTTCGAAACTTTTATAGATAAAAACATTTTTTCCATGTTCCTGGTATCTTACCTCTCTGGGGCGCGAGTTCTGGCGCACCCTGTATATGTATTTTTATTTTTTCTTTACAAATACGTAAATAAAGTTTATTTTAAATTAATTTAAAATCATAGATATTTTTTTCTTGTAAAGTCAATTCAGAGACATACGGTACTTATACGTATAAACCCCAGTATGTAGTAAAATTTACCCCAATTTTGATGCTTTAGATTAGCCTTACATATGGTGATAGATACCTTTGCATGCAAATAACTCTAAATATCTACATATTCATCCTATAAAAAATGTTAAATTTCATTATTATCAAATTAGAAATGCTCTCTCGAGAAACATATAGATTTAACAGTGCGCTATTTTATGGCATATAACAAAATTAATTAAATTATTCTAAGCTTACGTTTAGCCGGAATGAAATTACTGCGGAATAGCTTGAAAATTCGTAAACTTTATTCGTCTAAAATTCAGGATAAAAATAAATGCAGAATAAAATTTTAATTACTTGTACGTTGACGTGTTGAGTCGAGCATCATTTAAAACGTTCAATAAAATGTGGCAGTCCTGAAATCGTATGCCGGAAGTTTCAGGAAGTAAAACATCTTATTATCTATAATATGGTAATACGGGTATAGCTGAGTGGTTGTAATAAGATGCAATAATGTCATGAAGAAATTTCGCGGATATTTACAAGCTTCGTGAACGCCAAGCAACATCACATTTTATAATGCAGTCAAGATCCGGTGACGGAAATTCGTGACTTTCCGTCACTGAAGCGAGCAAATTTAGCAATTCCAGAAGCTCACACCTTTTTTATATTCCACTTTTATAACTCGCTATTAAAAAACTAATACATTTTGTGTTGTAATTAGTCAAACACTAACACGTCCAACTTGGTAAATTTCCAACCTGATATTGCATTTTAATTACGAAATTTACACTCCCGAAATGCCATTTGAGCAAAATCAAGACAGCAAACTTTGATGCGAAAAGTTATTATTCGGAACTCCGGAATCTGAGATTAGTAATAATTTTGCCTTGTCTCCGAATTTCTACGCCCCTGACTTCAAATGATACTACAACTCAATTAAAAGCTTCGCAAATTTTAAATTACTTACACACATAACGAAGTTTTGATTAAATTCTCAAGTGATCTCAAACTGTCCTTGAGCAGTCCTGTCTTACATTATCGTCTGCTTTACTTTGGAATTATCTCCTGCAATATGCTACCCCTCGAGGGGGTTGTTTGAGTTTCACCCCTTATCAAGCTAAACCACCACCAAATTATAGTCGAGTCTTGATTTATATAATCATTGAGAAATACATTTTTAATGGTGTCAATTTACCTTTTCTGGGAAAATACTCCCACCAGGGTGAAGACTGTCAATTCATATCAATTTTAACGATGCAAACGTTACAAATCTTTGAAGTTTGAGGGTATCACCCTTAACATCAATATTAAAAAAATTATTAAAAGATCCTTGCTCAAGACATACTCAACACATGGTAAGTGAACCTTGTTTGTCTTTTAGAGTTTCACTGAAGTTTCTAGTTGGCAGCTTCATGCTGTCATAAATTACCAAGAAACTTTGCTGTGTTAAAACTTTGACTGAAAAATATATGATCTCGATCTATTTATTTATCATATAGGAGAATTGCTAGAGATCATTTAATTTTGCAAAATTTTTTACCAAACTTATGCAACATAAAAACTACTTGTTCATATTAATATTTGAAAATAAATTTTCTTGATAGATAAGACAAAGCAAGAAAATAACACCCAAGTTTGTTAACGTAATTAAAACTTAATCAACAGTTTAGAGTCTCTTAATTAAGTTATAATCCATAATGAGTATCAGTGATTTTTTATGGAACTTTGTAAAAACTCAATTATCTGAACTCGAGATTTTTTATACATTGTAAATTAATTGAACTTGCTGAAATTTGAAGTTTCATTTTGCGCAAAAGCTTAAATACGTGAGCGACATATTTATTTTATTTAATAATCGAGCAGTTTCTTTGAAATTACTGAATATCAAATAGGTATTTTAAAAATACTTGTAGAAAACCTGTGCAAAGTAAAAAGAAGTTTTTTCATTAAATTTATAATTAATCTTTTACTTTAAGAAAACCATTTGTATTTCATTTGCTAAAAAGAAATAATAATGAATTAACTTTAAATATGTTATTCTATTTGCTTTAAATAGGAACGTTGTCATTTTCTGGTCTATTAGAGCGAGTAAAAAAATATAAACGCAAAGCTCAAGCTTTTGAAGGGTAAAAGCTAAAATCCATGTTTATTCTCGACCTTATTCGCATGCTGCAGAAATAAAATAAAACGAAGAGATAGCAATATAAGGACAATAAATATAAAATGAAAGCTAGGGCATATACAAGTGACATATACCAGTAAAGAATAAATCTGATCTTTCGATATGTGAAAAAAACTAAAAAAAGTTTTTTAATCTTCTTAAATCCCTAAGTGCAAACAAAACAAGAACATAAAAAAATCAAAATCAATAAATTTTTATCTCTAATTTAACAAATTCAAAACATGGATGTTAGTTTGTTATATTGGTACTGAAACAAGAGCCATTAAAATCTTCTCAATTCCTACGACTCGTTTTATGTGAACAATTCAATTCAATAATAAAAAAGTCATCCCCAAGCCAGCAATTGATTCCTCTGATTTAATTTTAATTTTATTCCAATAAAAGACTTTTTACTATAATACGACAAAATAAAAAA